CCATTTTCGTAAACAGCATTCAAAACTCTACCGATTCATCTAGGTCTCCATTCAAAGTTCCAAGATAAGTAGACTACCCCTTCTTGGTAAGACTACTAAGTGCATGACACGACACAAAGGAGCGAGCATCACCCACAAATTTTTCACTCAAACCCACGAGATATCGAAGATGAAAGTGTGCGTCGCGAGCGACATAAAGTAGTCAATTTTGATTGTAATTGTGCTTCCAGACCAGAGTACAATGTTTTTAATGGGGTTTCGCACAGAGTGCTTGAAACTTGCAGAAGTTACGTCAGAAAAGTGAAAACGCATACTCCACTAGACGGACAGTACTGTATAACGCGCTAATGTCTGTTTGTGCGTGCGTGTTTGTGTGTACATATGTATGTCTTTGTGTGTGTGGTGTGTGTGTAGGTGTGTCCGACCGGAGATTCATAGCACCTGTTCCCATGGACCTGGCGTTCATATTTCATGGGTGTACAGGCGGCAGGATGGGAACAGTTATGGTGGGTGGCAAGACAGTATCCGGTCCATAGGCAGGTGAGGTTTGCGTGATAGAAATCTTCGACAGCAAATTCATAACTCCTATTCCTATAGACCTACCGTTCAAATTCTACGGGTGTACAGGCGACACTACGGGGACACTGATGATTGGTGGAAGAACTAGACTCTGTTCGAAACAGGCGGGGAGTGCATCTAAACAGGAAATTGAATACCTAGAGCGTTCAGATTTTGTAGGAGCACATTCAGGAAAATGTAAACACTGATGATTGGTGGTAAACTCCGCCAACAGGGCGGGGCGCCAGCGAAACTGTCAATTTGGACCTAGACAGGAGGCGATGGTTGAAAGCGAATCGTGTATTAAATGAGCGCAATTAAAAATACGAAAACAAGTTAGAATAGATGAGGAATGAACCGTGTTACTTAAACACAAGGACACTGGTCAGGACTACCAGGAATCCGAGATTCAACCAAGGGCAAATTAAGAATTAGAAGGGAAGACCAATGTTTCCAAAGAAAAAGCTACTAAAATGATCCGTCTCTGAGTCGACCCATCAGAAAGACGGCAAAGGATCAGGACAAATCGATGGGGTTGATTTTCGAGCCAAAGCTTTACTGTCATTCCCATCTCATGCAGAAATCCTTCATCTCCGATTTCAACAGACAGGGGAGACGGGCGTTAGGAACGATTTTGGGTAATCGATTCGCCGCACGCGGCTGTCGTGGACCACTCATTCGACGTTACTACAGCTCTAGCGTTCTTCATGCAGCTCAATCGATATGTGATCATCATTTTATGCATAACACTACTACTAGTACTTTTGTTCTTGTATTTCTTAGCTACTGCTGCATCCTGCTACATTCCTTCGCGCGCGACGCCCCTCTCACCGCGACGCGACCATTTCGTTCCTAACGCACCACACCCCAACAGACAGTGACAGGGTCAGAAAATGCAGAACGTTGCCTACTCACTTGAGTGGAGATGCGCAACCCTTCAAGCCAAAAATTTCTTACGGGAAAACCATTCGACAATTAAAACGATCATTTTCGGCTATAAACATCGAACGTGTAACCTCTAACAAAGAAATTGCGATAAGAACAGCAAAATGATTTTTTTATTGAGGGAGACACTGCAAAGGGGTAGGAGGCTTGTTTTCGTCTGCGCCTGCGTGAAATTCACATGGACGTATACTCAAAGAGCATACCGATGGACGTGATGAAGCACTGATCCGACTCCGCTTCCTGAAACAG